CTCTGATGACGTCAGTTTGACGGCTTGGGCAGAATATCCTTAAACACACCCCTCCAACCGTTAGTTTGCTATGAGTGAGAGACAGAGAGGAGGAGCGCCAAAATAAAAACACGCCCTCTATTCAATATTCCGTTTGAGCTGTAAACACGTCACTACACTGAAATAAAGTCCGCAGCAGCTTCCGGTTCACGTGGACTTTAAAGGGGGGGTACAATGCTGTTTCATGCATTCAGAGTTGTTTACACTGTTAAAGAGTTGGATTCTCATGCTAAGCATGGACAAAGTTTCAAAAAACAATTTGGACGTATGACGGAGTATTTCTGTGCCACAAATCTTACTTCCGGGTTCGTACAAGTTTCGGAGAGTTTTTTTCGACCGTGGCTCTTCATGACGTAAACGAGGGTGGAACTCCTTATATGGGCATTTTTCCCAGAACAACGCGCCCGCATCGACCAGAGCAATTGCGAGATCGCGCCCATCAACGAGCTTCATCCGGCAGCGCTACACGGGACTCGCTCGGGAGTAATACTGAATAATACTGGCTGAATAATGACTGTCACATCTGGCTGAGGCTGATCTGTCAGTATGTCTTCCTGAAGACACACAAATGAACAGTGTAATCCAACCGAGCTGTGTATAAGTGCAGAGATCGCGGGAGGCGAACGTCAACTAAGGAAAGGTAGTGTGTGTTGGGACTTTATGCGCTCGGTGAAGGGGCAGTCCCTTACCTGCCATTGGGCACATGCTCCTGTCTGTCAAGCCAGACTTGGTGCAATTGGATGCTTCTGCAGAGGTCAGAATGCCCTTCCCATTGGTGGATCTCGAACACGAGATGATGAAAGAGAACACTATAACAGAAGCTTAAAGTGATTTGGCTTTAAAACGCATGATTTCAGCGCGATATACATGATAATCAAAACCAAACAGATGTATTTTGGCAGAGTATTTCAGGTACGAGCTGTAAAGCACAGCACTATTCTGGAAAAGGGGGCGGGGAGCAGCAGCTCATTTGCATTTAAAGATACATGCATGAAAACAGTGCATTTCTGCTTCCACGCAAAATAGGCATTTTCAAAATGATATAATAAATGACCTGTGGGGTATTTTGAGCTGAAATTTCACAGACACGTTCTGGGGACATCTGAAACTTTTATTACATCTTGTAAAAAGGGGGCATAATAGGTGCTCTTTAAGAATAACCACACCAAGACACGCGGGAAACAATGACAATGTCCATACATGATATCCATTACAGTAGAGCACGTAGAACATCTAAGTGTATTCATGTTGAATCAATACTCACCCTAAATTCAAATGAAAATCCAGCACTCGCAAGTGGAGTTCACTCGGAGATATTAACGCATATATGCTCTCTAGCCAAGGCAACCAGAGGTTACGAGTGCATATATCTTCTCTGAGGCATTCAACTTCCAAGCACCCAGAAGATTGAAGCCTCTACAAAACATGTTTCTGTAATATATCTCAGATTGCTGCAATCCAGGCTCACAAAAAATCTGAAACCGATAGCAATGTAGTCAATGACGAAACAGCTCGCGGATATCCTGAAGAACTCTTTAGCAGCAAGCTGCACAAAATATCGTCACATCCGATTCAATCATACGATTAGTCATGCGAGAATAAGAAAGAGGTCGAGATGACGTGTTAAGGGGTTTTTATTAGGGCTGGGCAATAAAAAACGATTTTTCGATTAATCCTTTTTTTTTTTAAATGTGGTTAATTCGATATTGATTCTCAAAAGCTGCAAATCAATGTTTTCCATATTTATTTCCGCAAACATTAAACACAAGATCTGATTAACGTGAATCTTATCATTAGTCTTCTACACTAGATGTCACCCTCTTGTACGATGTTGCAACAGAAAAGTCTGTCATTCATTCAGTGCTTAACATGGTGGAGATACTGTTGACAAGAACATTTGCAGTGCTGAGGTGAAATGCGGTAGTAATACTACAAATATGTATGATTTCCGCAATGAATGAATGAATGTCGCAGACACGCTCTTTTGTTTACTACAATCATACTAAAGCGCGCGTGATGTTCGCAGTGTTTTTTCAGCCTCTGCCATCTGACTATATGACGAAATGTACACACAAACATCTCCAGCTGCTCTGAGAGTCATTTCAATTTACATTTTACCGTTTAATTTGAGAAGAACTATCGTCAAAAGCTGAAAGTTCTTCACGGCAACCTGTCGAAATAAATGTTTGGTTTAACGTGAAGAAACTGTGACAGAAATATATTACTATTGTGCAGTAGAATGTAAGATTCAATGTAATAACAATACTACTAATAATAAATATTATTAAAACTTGATTTTTAAAGGAAACTTGACACATTTTTTTCTTTTTAATTTTAACAGTAAACCTCTGTTGTGCAGCACTTTGTTTGCCAAATAATGAAAGGGTTTCATTTTTGTTTGATTAAAGGATAAATTAAATGAATGCTTTATGCCTTCATTTGATGACAAGAAAAAAATAAAGAAACATTTTATACAAAATTTTATAGGGTCCTTTTATTGTAAAAAAAAAAAAAAAAAAGGACCCTATACAAATTATTATTTTTTTAATTAAATTAAAATACAAGCCTGTGGCTCTTAATTTCTTTTTATTAATTCACCATTTGTAAACTGATGTTCAGTGTTAATTTTTTCTTAAAAATATCCATAACATTTGTGTTAAATCTATATTCACAGAATTGAATTTAAAAAATCGAGAATCGAAGACGAGACTAAAATGTAGTTTAAGAGGTCTGAGAGAGGTCTGCTTCCGGCTTCGCTACCGTTCGGACGTTCTTGCTTACTGATCTGCGCTTTGCTTCCTATTTCTGTACTTTTCTCGGATTTTTCTAAGATTTTTACTTCAGCAGATCAGCACAGTGCTCAAACAACACATTTTTGGCAAAAACACTAAAACTAAAAACTATTTATAAGTGTCTCTAAATTACAGAGACACTGGTTTTTATCTTTAATCATTACTGAATTAACATTTTACTTAAATTAAAATTAATTATAATGAAACATTTAAAGAGAAATAAGCTATTAAAGTTTGTTTACATTGCAGTTTGCTTACATGCATTTTACCTTGTCATGGCTGTTTTCGGGTAGAACCTTTAATGTTGTCATATCACACAACTGTATAACACAATTCTGTGTCATTTCTGAATGGATCGAGCAATTTGTACTGTTTATCTCTTATAAATCGTGGCGGAAGCGCAGCGCTGTGCGGGAGACTGATCCCG